CTTCCTACATACCGAAAATCAGCCACTTTCTCTCTAATTTTTCATCATCTTTATCTTTATATTCATTCTTCCCTTGCATACCAATATTTTTGTTTTACTTTCTTTTATTTGTATTGTACGGGTGCGAAACATGGACAGTGGGCGCGGCAGAAAAGAAAAGGTTAGAAGCGTTCGAAATGTGGTGTTATAGGCGGATGATGAGGATATCGAGGGTAGAAAAGGTTAGAAATGAAGAGGTATTGGAAAGAATAGGAGAACAGAAGACTCTATGGAAAATAAATGAATCTTTTTGCATGCATATGATTGGATCTCCACTTTTAAGACAGACTGTACTTACACGTTTAACAGTCGTTCTTGTCTTGAAATCGGATAAGCTTTTAAAGAAGCTTAACTTCATTGAAAATGCCAGAAGATTGAAATATCAATTTACTCAATAAGCCNGATGTGGGTTGTTCTAGTTTTAGGGAAATGCGAAGTTTAGCTCAGGATAGGAAAGAGTGGAGGTGCGTGTCCAACCAGTCTTAGGACTGACGACCTTATGATCATGATGACTTTCTTTTATGTCTATACCACTTCCATTTCATTTAATTCTATCGCTAACCCCTCCCTTCGTCCCTACATTTTTAAATATATTTAATATCTTTCTCAATGAAAGGGGATACTTATAACTTACTTACTCACTTACTTATTTATAAATGAATCTTTTTGCATGCATATGATTGGATCTCCACTTTTAAGACAGACTGTACTTACACGTTTAACAGTCGTTCTTGTCTTGAAATCGGATAAGCTTTTAAAGAAGCTTAACTTCATTGAAAATGCCAGAAGATTGAAATATCAATTTACTCAATAAGCCTGCCGCGCTTCCTGTCTTTAATGTCTACACAAATGCCAACTCTTACTCCACCTTAAATGGCGTTCCTTCTTTTTTTTTAATTTAAATCAATTTCCGCCTTAATGCTTTTATGTTTTAGCAAAACGGTATCTATTAGTAATGACAATTCTAAAAATATCGTATTACTTTATAGTTACAAAAGTTATTTTAGGATGTTCGTGTAGGAGGCGGAGTTGTGCCAGCATCAGCTCTTATTAAAGGAAATAAAAAGGGAAATTTGCAGCTATTATTAGATCGTCCAATTTTCATCAAATAAACTGCTTATCAAATACATACATACATTGTTAAATTCGATATGAATAATGATTTCTAAAACACAATTTCTCTAATACACCGTCAAAGGTTTGCTTTCATTTTAAGAATGTCAGTGTTCTGCAATTAACACGTCATATACCGTCTTGATAACTGCCGACCATTATCGCACTATAGGCTAATTATATCTAATTTTATTTTGTCCAAAAGTATTAAAAAAAATTGTGACAAAAGTTAACCGTTTCTGTAATATCCAAATAAAGGCGCAGCATCGCCATCTAGTGGGTATTTACTACTACCAACTGAAGTATTTCAACTTAAACGTTCTTATTATTAATTTCTCCAGCATCAAAATCATAATATCAAAATTATTTTGCATATTTATAGTCGTGAATCTTGTTATCTAGGAGTGTATGAGTGAATCTGTTCCCATTTTGAGTCTCGTTTGCAATAAAAATAAAACTATTGTTGAATATTTTGCAATTCAAGTAGACATTGCTGATTTTTAATACTGATTGCTTAATCGATCAATTGTCCCAAGAACCGTTTTGGCATGGAATAGCATAGATAATCAAATTATCCGATTTTCATTGAAAAGCAAGACTGATAAAGTACATGTCGTCCGTTTTTTCTCTTTAAGACGTGTTTAAATTGAGAAATGAACTTATGCGTTGTTGAATTTTCCCTTTGTTTGAAATCATCGGCGTTTACCATTAGAAAGACTTAAAAAAGGAGTTTCTTTTTGTCGAGATGTTCTTATTCGTAAACGTCACTTTATATTCAGTGCCACCGAAAACGATTCCATTTTATCAAAGCATTCCTTAAGGTGTTTTTGATGTTGATATTTTGCCTTTGAGAAAAGACAAAATGTACCTATCTATACCTACGCAATTTCACTTTGAACTTTAACGTCAATATATGAATTAAATCAATAATATGTATCTGTCAAATTATTTAAACTTTCCTTGCTGATTTTGTGCTAAAAATATACTGTTCGATTGTTTTTCACGATTATCGGCAAATTATTTCTCTGAATTCGTCGCAAGTTAAAGCATTCTTTTTTAAAATTTAGATATTTTTATTGAAGTTTGGTGAGTTTTTATCATTAAACTGATGTAATTATGTTCATAAATCGTAAAAAGTTTCACTCACTAGTTGTTTTTCGTAATTTCCTTAATTATAAAAACTATTGAAATTTTTTAAAGGTCATATTCATAAATTTAATATTATAGACACAGTAATTACATGAACAGTAGGGAAATAGCTGTAGCTAAATTGATGCTTTCAACATCTGTGTTGGAATTTTTTGTATTGAAAGCTCTATTGTATTTTGTTTTAATATAAAAGCTTCAATTTTGCCAATATTTCCGATCAAACAATAAGTTATTGCTCCATTGTTTAAACACAAAGGCAGAATTAATGAGATTCAAGTAGCTTATTAAATAATAATTATTAATTTGAAATGCCACTGATTTGTTACTCGCCTGTTTACCAGAAATAGGTATAAATTTATTTGCTAAAATGATTACTTCGTCGATGTAGAAATTTCAAAAACATTTCCATTTCGTATAAAACGAGTTTGAAACTGGATTTGTTTCCATCCTTGTTATATGTTGAAATTACACTTTCGACGTAGTCAAACAAAAACAGATTACTAGATCATAGTTTGCGTACTTTTGACCTAGTTTTTAACTCCATGTGTGTTACAATTACGTTGGCGTAATCATGTCGAACTGTAGGGTGGTTCATCTCATAATCTCGAATTGGGATAGCAAACGTAAATTTCAATCCAAGTAAAAAATAAACAAACTTTTTGATGTAGGTGGTGAATAACATTTTTGGTAAACTAAAAAGCAAACAAATTTGACTGAATAGGCAGAACCAAGACCAAATACGCAAGAATGAACTAAAATGTATGAGTTAAACTATTTAAAGTAACTTTAATACAGTGTAAACTCTTTATAACGTCACTCGATTTAACGACAAACTCCTTAAAACGTCGAAATTGCTTGACTGGACAATATTACACTCTATATAGCGTCACGCTCACTCTATTTAACGACAACAATGCGGCATTATAAATCATTGAGCAGTACTTTCTAAGTTGCCGAAATAGATAAGAACTGCAGCTGTGTACGTTGTTGAAGAAGACGATCCTGTCCCTCCACCAAGCATCAAACAAGCACTTGATGCAGCGAAACTATTAAAAAATACTTTTCATATAATCAGATTGATGCCAGCAGTATCTCAAGATATGATTAAGATACGTAACAAAATACAATTAAAATATTGGAGCAGTAAAAAACATCAGACGAAGATAACAGACTATACGCAATGTACGAATAATAATGTTCGTGTGCAAAATGTGTACTATATTGGTAAATGCATATTATTATTATAGAATAGTAAAATAATATCTTTTATTTCTCTCCATTTAACGACCACTCTTTATAACGCCGAAAAATGTTCAGTCCCTTAAGTGTCGTTATATAGAGTTTACACTGTATATTCTTTTTTTGAAACAAAACATTTTTAGTATTTGAAATTGTCGGTTTGCTTTACTAAATTTTAACACTAACTATAAAAAGAAGAAACTCTACCATTCTTTGAAAACAAGGGTCTACAAGAATGTCCTCGGAGTAAGTGTTCTTTGTTCCTATGTCTGGAAAATACATCATTGAAATGTAGAGACAAAACTAACTTTTTTTTCTTCTTTCAAGTACCTTGTTAGTACCTAGTTAAGACATCAATTTGTGCGTTGGTGGACTCGAGTTTTCACAACTCTTTGAACTATCGACACCATTTTCATGACAAGCTCGCATATATGACAGAATTATTGTGTGTCGGTAAATAGAAAAATTTGGGCTTAGAAGAATTATTTAAAAAAATGTAAGTATCAGATTGAAAGTCCAGGACCAAGACCGAATAATCGAGGTCAATTCCAACACCATGACTAGGGCAGTGTTGGTCTAGCTCTTGCTTTACTTTTCACTAGATCCGATTGACTCTCTTTGTTAACACTGATAATAAATAAAAAAGTTAATTAATTAATTCTTTAGAAAACTTATTGCTTTTTCTTAGCTTCTGTCCACGAATTCCGGGAACGCGCCAGGCAGAAGCACAAAAACGAAATGTCTTATGATTTAGAATATTATTATTATTTGATAGTTTTATGATTTTATCATTTGTTTTTTGAAATCCTGTAATCGTCATAATTTGAAATGTCTTCTTTAAAATATCCTTTCTATCTTCCTTTATTCGTTCCTGCTATTACTAATTACTAATGGTAAGGGATGAAAATTAAAATATTTCCTTTCATAATAATAAACACACCGATGAACTGATAACCAATCTTATTAAGATCATGGGGTACTTTCATATTCTTTGTTATCTGTTATACACAGTTTTAATTAGTTTAAAGAGTTTTTGGTATAAAAAGTGACAGTTACAGTTTTTGTAATATATCCTTAATGATAAATTAGCTTTAGCTAGCTAATTGCTTTTGTACTTGGTAGTAATTATTTGTTTGAGTTTAGAAGAATCTTTAAGGGTGATGTTAATATCAATGTTACTGTACAACAAAATTTTATAATAACTTTTCCGTATGCTACGTTCTAAAAAGAAAAAAGTTATCCACAGTGTAATTCCTGTTAATATAGAATTTTGAAATTTAGAATCGTAAGATTTTCCAGCTTGAATAAAGGAAAGAATCTGTAAAGTTTTCATTTCCAATCATACCCGTTTAGAAGTTACATGATCAACTTTTCGATAACTTCAATTTGAAATTGTATTGACAGTGATTACAATAATTATAATTATTTTTAATCTAATTTTTCTTCGTTTTTAATTGCAGTACTGAACAACTACCAACGGCTGTTTCGGCGACGGGTTCGTGTCGCACTTCGGCTTCTTGTAGTTTGGCTTCCTCCAGAGAATCTTCGACAAGTGCACCAGGTCCCACCCCATACAAAGTGTTGATGCTTGGAGGACCAGCTGTCGGGAAATCTTCCCTTGTCTCCCAGTTCATGACATCGGAATATCTTCATGCATATGACACAAGCATAGGTATGTATCAAAATTTATAACCAATGTAGGATTTCGTTATTAATTCCCAAAATGGGTTTTAAATCAAATAAAAAACGGTTTCAAATTTATTATTTCTTTTAATTTCGTTTTAATCCGCGAGGTACTGGATTAAAAATGTTCCCGAGGGATAAACGAAAACAAAAACGTTATTTTTTGTTGTTTGAATTGATTACTAATTGTAGGCATGTTTTGTTACAGATGACGAAAGTGGGGAAAAATCTGTATCTGTTTTGTTGGCTGGTGAAGAATCTGAATTAATATTTATCGATTTTGCGACAGCTGATTTATCGGTAAGTTAATTTTCTATAAAAAAAAAACAGTTTTCGTTTATTATTTACTTTTTCTTTTATATAAACTTGATTTTTCTGCTTAAACAAGAAAACAGTAAATATGTTTGTATTTTATAACGCTACATTACTTATAAAAATCAACATGGTTATTAATTAATGTAAAAGTCTACCCTTTGT